CAATAATTAAAGTATAACTAGCATAAAAATCGCGGACAAAAATCAATTGATCATATAATCTTGTAGAAGGCAAAGGACCCACAGTCAATTTAGTCTTTGACCTTACTGTGATGACAACACAGTATTTAAAAGCTTACACAATTATGTGCAATAATCAAATAGTGTTCTGCCTAATTTAACAACTTCTCTGTATATTTCGATAATTTCAGTTTTCCCCTATTTATTCTCTAATATTATTTGTATTAAAATCCTGGAGAGGGATATCATACATTCCTTTTAAAATACTTATAAATTAAATTCCCTCACATTGTGATATTTTTACATTAACCCTTTAACTCTCAGAAGTGCTTCACATGTAACTTCTCCCCATAATATTAATACATTAAGTTGTTATCTTGATCAAACACCAAATTCTGGTAATCAATTTACAAGGAAATGTGTAGCAGCTAGAGGGGAGAATTAACAATCAGATCCTAGGAGTTAAAGGGTTAAGTTTACTCTTAGCTATGCAGAGCACCTTAGTTTAAAAGTAAAACCAAATATAAATACAGTGTAGTACTTTTTAAAGTTTTAAGTCAATGTAAATAAGTTTCATGGATTAATATAGACAGTTTTGAGATTTGCATACAAAGGAGGAAAATGGTGAAGTTATATTATGTGAACACTTTGATTGCATTAACCCTTTCACTCCCAATATCAAAATATCACTTCCTCTTCACTGTTCAAGGTTAAGTTGGAATATCAAGTCTTAATTATCTGAATGTGAAACTAGAAGTGTTTCTCTGTAACTAAGGGGTGTTAAAGTTATTAGCCTACAGTGTTTCCTTTTATTAACAACTACTTTGTGAAAGGAAGACGATTTAGGTTATCAAAACGAGTTATCGCAGTACTATGTATTCTCATAACTTGTGCAGAAACAGGGGAAAGAGAGGATTCTGATTGTTACCCATCAGTTGTATTATGGATGGTATAGAAGATCAGGAATGAATCTTTATTTTTCAGAATTCAGCTCAATAGTTGAGAGAGGCTGAATGGATTTCAAAGGGTGCACCTGGTTTGTCTGTGTCAGATACATAACATTGTAACTTTAGTCTTAAACCTTAAATGGTGCCAATAAAGAAACAACTGAACACACATGAGGCTCCCACAAGTAAGCTTCCATGACCAGGATTTTTTTCCTACTCTGCAGTACTGTAATAGAGTGCTTGTTATCCCGGCTTACATCCCCAGGTTTTTGGAAATAGTAATTGTACTCCTAAGGGACCAGTAACCCCCACCTCCCCCCCCCCACCCCTCTATTGCATGGGGGAGGAGAGGAGTATAACTGGGGGGAATCACAATGTTTGCAAAGGGAACGGAGAGGGAATCAGTGGTCGCAAACACAGTATGAAGGGGACTAAAGAAAATAAACTGCCATTTAACAGCCAGTGAGGAATATCAAAGAAGCCTTATGGGGGGATCTGGTAAATTTAACCCCCTTCCCATCCGGCGGTAATAATTATCAGTCCCTTACCAATGCTTTAATGTTGTGCTGATATTCATGGCTCTTGTTGTCCTCGCAAGATCAACAGCATCATCCAAGGAGTTTTTTGCCAGCGCCATAGAGTACATTTCCTCGGGAAGTTGGTCAATCTGTGTTTTAAAAAAAAATCTGCCAATGTAAGCAAATTGTAAGCATACGAACAGTTTTTCTGTACTAATAATGTTAGCTAATTTTGATTTGCATCGGGAAAAGAGGATCGAACTGAGAACGTCAGCATTTAAAATATGCATCGGACTAGACTAGAGTGTTTCCTTTTATTAACAACTACTTTGTGAAGTCTGAAAAAAAAGCGAAATGAGCCGCAGACAGAATGTAATGGGGCGGACGCTAACATAAATCAAATCAAACTTGAACAACGCCGTGTCGGGGAAATGTCTTATTTTGACAGAACCTCCAAGCGTCTATCAGTCTCAACTGGTTTATTAATCAGTGGAAAGCTCGTGAAAACTGAAATACAATAAATTAAAATAGGCCATTACCATACAAGAAACGCTAATCGAAATGTCCTGAACTCGAACACGCGGGGCGTGCATATAGATAAATCAAAACAACACAAATATCTAAAGCGAAACAAAACTACCTTTGATTAGACGCGTTTCGGTTTATAAATACAAGAATAAATAAGATGACATACCTCTTTCCCCGTTAAATTATTCTTGTATTTCGACAATCCTTCGATCTGGTTATGCTTGCAACTAACCCGCGTCTCGTAGCCGAATGAAACATAATGCCGACAATTCGAAGGTATGTCACACAAAACATAACAAAAGGGTATTGAACGTCACGCAAATCACAACTGAAAATAGCCTTCGTTACACAGACAACCTAAGGTGTTCGTGACTGCGTGACGTCAGTTATACAGATCTTTATTCAAGTAGTCGCCAAGAATCGTTCAGAATTAAAGTTCCGTACTCTGCGGCTAGTCAAAATATTTAAATCCCCTATTCTTTAGGACGAATTGCTACTCTTAGACACAAGAAACTTTAAGATAGTATCAATTATACATTCTTGCGGTGTTTTAAGTTCTTAAATAAATGACCTCTTACCGTAAATATTTATAAACTACACTGTCTCAATTTAGGTTGTTTGACCGAACAAAACAGTCAGATAGAAATGCTTCATACATGATTCGAAAGTTAAATTCAATCCTACCTTTCAAATACTTGTATCCATAATCGGACCGTGGAATCTTATCGGTTTCGAAGCTCCCAGAGCCGTACCAATCATTGGAAATATATCATCGTTCAAAATGACGAGAGTTTTGTCAGAGATATAGTAAAGTCCAGGCTCTTGAGGTACAAACCCATTTTGCTCAGTTCATTCAATCTTTCGGAAAGCTAAGTTAGGTCTGCCTTCTCAAGATATATGAATCATCGACAAAGGCAAGCCTTTTTCGATCTGACCATCGAAGAAACACTAGCTCCTAAGCAATACGAACACGAATGGAATAAGCACTTTGTTCCCCAGAGTCATCTCTGCAACAGACATATGCTATCTCGAGGACCATCTCGAGGTAAATACAAATGGAAATCAGGGTAATTTAGTAAAATCAACTGAGCTGATAACGTAAATTGGCCACTGTAAAGAGTTTAAAAGCGAACGTTTCGAGCGTTAGCTCTTCATAATACTAAATTAGATAATACTAAATTACCCTGTTATACCTTTCCACCGCCAGCACTACAGTTTCTCTAGAAACATACTTCCTTTATTAAAGCTAGAAATCGCTGGTTATCCAACCGAACTATATTGAGAGGTGGTTAACATGGAGAGCAGAAGCAGCCAACTGTCACAAAACTATTTCTCGACATGTGTACAAAGCCGCTCCTTGCTTTTCTGTGCTAACAGAATGCGTGACACTTTATTTCAATTATCTGACTCTAAGTAGGATCTTAGTATTGAAGCTGAAATTAAAACTGTAAAGTATCTTTTGAGTATTCAAAGGCTCTTGAGTATTTAAAGGCTACGATTCTGTGTTCGGTATATTATAAAAGCAGCCTCTTGAAATTTGGATTATCCGACATGTCCGATGTTTTATTATTATCTACACGACTGTTCAACTGGAAAATATCAACATTGTGTTCAAGAGATGTTCGTTATCAGATAGCATTTTGAAGTAGTTCTCCCGAATTCTCTCTTTCGAATTCCTTTTTCCACCTTCTCTCACGTGAAACATGTTTTCAACTTTTTTAACTCGCACGTCAGTTTTAATAACAAGGTTTTATTCGGTTGTTAGTCACATGTCCTCAAAGCCGCAATTATGCCTACTCTTGGGGTATTATATCAGCAGAAAATAGTTCATGGAAACTAATAAAGAGCCATTATATCAAAGACTGGAAACTTGAAATGGTAGATGTTTTGGCACTTGATGTTTCACGTCAGCTGAAGACATAAACAAAACTCAGTAAGGGTGGGAGTGCAATAAATTGTATCAGAACAGACAGTGGAGCACACAACTTTTAATTACGTCAAAATAAACAAAGATACATTTTTTGACTGAAAGCCGAACTTTGTAAATGTGTGATTTCACGGATTTCAAATTCACAGTTCGGTGAAATGATGAAAAATCCAAACAGAGCTACCATATGATACTAAGTTTACATATCCTATGGATATCCTACCAAAATTACCTATACCAGTTATTTAGATGGTGAGTATTGATATCATATAAAACATACACATATATCATGATGTAAATAAAGAAAAATAAAATTATTATAAGACACAGTTTCGTCCCAAGCACCATTTCTAACGATTCCAACACACAATATTCCTATAATGTTTTCAACTTAATCAACTTGTTAATAGCTAGGAAAAAAATTACTGAGTCAAAATGTTTGATTATTGATGAAGAGCAAGGTTCCAAACCAGCTTTAAAGATTTTCTGAGGCATTTGTCTTTTATTTCAGGAAAACTAAACGACGCTTCTTTTGGTTACACCAGAATAAACAAAGATAGATTGTTTGACTTAAATAGCCTAATTAGTAAGCTCTTAATGATTTTCCACAAATTGTAATTTAATCATTACTTAGAATAAACGACACATTGCTAGATTATTAAGATTTATAGTCAAAAGCTAACAATTCAAGGCAAAGTTTGGTCACTTCACATTGTTGTTTTGCAAAGGACGCGAAGAAATTTACTAAGATTTATAACGCACGTGCACGACTGTTCTACTCATGAAACCTTTTGTTTAGTGACGTTCCCGCTCTATAGCCGCTGTGTTTTTGTTAAACCCCCTAATGTCAAAGTTCTTTATTTCACAAGGCTGTAGAAAAGCGGCATAACACCACTCTAAAACACGGCCAAGTCCTATTTTATGGAAAACCCAATCAAATTCCAGATTATTATGAAATTTTTCGTTTAGCTCCCATTAATATTTGTCACGCAGATTGTGTAAAAACTGATATCGAAGGAAGATGGCAAGAGATGCTGCTTACCCAATCCAAAAACATTGAACTCACCTCTCTGACAGTCCCTCAAACACAGACTCCTGTGGCTTCATAAGTTTGCGGATTATGTGCATTGAAGAACTAAAACTCAGAGACAAAGTGAGGCCCAGTGCTACAGTGCGAAGGGCAGTGAGTTTTAAGTTATTCAGGGAGCCTTGCGAATTGAGAATGAAGTAAAACACAGCTACTATGTCACTTTCAACATAAGCACAGATCATACACACACTGATGTAGAACACATACCTTGTGACAACTCTGTGTTTGTTGAGGATGATTATAACAAGAAAATTACAAACTGTGCAAGTTACATTGTAAAGCATAAAATATGAAAACTTCTCATAAAAAATTTCAAATAATGGAGTGTGGTTGAGAGAACAGTATGGTACAACGAAGCACAAAACGAGCAAATACATGTTGGATGAAAACCAATCGCTCCGAATCAACTTTGAAGGGTTCGTCGAAACGGTCCAGGTTCTCCTACAGACCAACGTACTATACATAAAAAACGAAAATACTCGTACAACTGACCACAACAAAGTGACAACTGCGGCTATCGAAGCGCCTGTCTCGGTTGTCGTGGTAGAGGTAAGATTGTCTCGTTTTACGGTAGTCGTATTTTCTGGTAGAAGAACATCCCAGAAAGTTTTTTGCCGAAATCTTTCTTGTTCATCAAATCGGAAAAAAGACAATCCTCCACTTGAGATACCTACAGGGAGCGCTGCCAAAGTGAGAATCACATAACCAAAACCAATTGCGAGGTAGCGAATACCTCTTCCAAATATCCTCGCCACACGCACTGTGATTGAACTAGTCTGAGCGTGATACGTAAAGATTTGAGCTCGTTGGATAGAGTGTCCTCGGCCCTCCTCGACCATTTCCTCGTTACCAGACTCCTCGTCGATTTGTCGCGTCGTTGTCACGCAACAGAGTATCTTCTTTCGTCGGAGCCATTCCAACGTAATAACTGGACCCACAAGAAACCAAAAGTAAAGGTGCTCCAAATAAAATGCCATCGCTTTAAGATCATCTGACACAAGTGAAACTCTAATATGGACTCCTGTTTGGTCTGCGGTGGAAAGTTCCGAATCCGTCATGGACCAGAAAACCGACGCGTTTTTACAATTAAAGCCATAAACAACAGGAATTAATAGTTTATCTGCCGTTTTTACACTACAATTTTTCTCCAACAACTGGTATATAGAGGGAGAAAATATCAGCATAGAGTATCCTGCGTGCTGCGCTTTTATTGCCAGGTCGCAAAACGTACATGTTTTGTTAATTTCCTCCTTTATCCCGATGAGCGCAATTTTGTTGACTTGAACTCTTGCCTTTCCTACATCAATTAATGATTGACAAGCATTGGCCAGCGTTGAAAATACTGCCAAGCCATCGAAAGTGAGATCTTTTTTTCCCTCTGTTGATGATGCCTGCAGAAAAGGAATCAGTGAAGGTCCTTTAAGATTGGTAGGCTCGTATGGTCGATACGATTGGGAGTCTCCTAAATTGCAAACCACGTCCGTTGTGCTTGAAAACGATAAACTAATTTCAGGTAAAGCGTTGTCACCATCCTCCGGTATGAGCTTATGCCTTGGCCCTGGTGAGAAAGGGGTGATCCATAATAAAACTGGCAAGAGAACCACAAAGCAAACAAAGCTTGCAAGCACTTTACACTTTCTCGACATCTTAAAACGGTTGAAGAATATCAAAACACAGTTCGCTATATGCTTAAATGAAAAAAAAGTGATTGTGATTGTAACCGCTGACCTGGATTAAACGGGCTCTGAAAGACGATAGTCAATATATTTTAATAAGAGAAAGTATTTCTTTATGAGCGCTGAACCCCAAACAAATCATGCACCCACAAAATGGATTAATAAGAATATACGAAAGTCATATATTTGAACTGCGGAAAAAGACCTGAATATGAAAGTGATCCTCGCAGTAATGTACACTACTTATGCAGTAGTGAGAATAAGGCCTGAAAAAAATTCGAGAATTTTTAAAAAATCTTCACAGTTGCCTAAGTAGTGTACATTACTGAGAGGATCACTTTCATATTCACGACTGTTATTCTCTTAAAGTCTACTCCTGAGGGAAACAGTTGGTTTTCTTTCGCTAAGGGTCTCAATATTCCCGAGAAAAAGTCGAGGGAAACATTGAGACCCGAGGGAAAACAAAAATAACTGTTTCTCCAGAGTTCAAACATTAAGTGCTTTGTTATGCATCCAGAGGACGAACATGGTAAACAAGAAAACGATGAGCGTTCATAACAGTGCACATTTATTTATTGTAAACACTGCAAATGTACCTTTGACCTACCGGAGTCCTCCAGCTCCACAAGTTTTTTTTTTTTTTTTTTCATTTCGTCTTTCGACAAAGAGAATAGAGTTACATTTTGACCATAGGCTGTTCCACAGTGTTTTCAAGAACTAGACGTGGAGAAAAAGCAACAAATCAACATTAATACTGTCTGGAATCGCGCCGAAAAGTTCAGGAAGGGAGAGTTTAAAATATTACACGCATAATTACACCACTGGTCTCAGCCACATTCTAATCACGTGAAAAACTTAGACGTTGATCGCATTTAATAACTGTATTCTCTTCGTGATTCAACTTTGACATCCTGTCCAAATTGTATCCCGAGCGGAATACATTGTAATATATTCAGGCTCATGCGACTATAAATTAGCCAAAAACAGTCGTCTTGAGCAAGGGAAATATAAGGTGTCAAACAGCACGAATTGATCGAAATATGCAGTTTATCGCTGGCTATCAGAAAAACCAAATCTCATTCACACGCACTGTGTCTCATATTGTATTCGGATAATTGCTATGTAGAGTCGGTTTTATCTGGGCCCAATAATCACGCTTGTTTGACACAGACGAACGAACAAACTTGATTGTTACGTGACTTTTTATCAGAAAGTTGACGAGAGGTGATATAGCAACCGTAAGCAATAGTTTTTTTGGCTGCTGCAAGCCGATTAGCGAGCTCATTGGTGAACCTCAGCGTCGCAGAGGTGGCTCTCTACTTTAATTGCGTGATCCTCGTAGCAGTAACAATTCTCGTGTGAATATCCAGCGCAGGATTCTCCCACTTTCGATTTGATGAAGGAGAAGAAATTCTGGGATGACCTCAGACCTGACCCGAAAGGAAAAGCATTTTTTGAGTGTCTATGGCGGTCGCCTCTTCAAGCATTGTGTTTCCTTATGTACAGTCGGCTTGCCTGTGAGGCTACCTGGAGGGGTCATGCAAACTTTCCAAAGCTGATCCAAATTAAAGTGACTGGTTTGCATTGAAAATGATCTACTTTGTGCTTTGTGGAACCATATAACTCCACGGTTAACGAAGAGAATTGTCTTTTTACAGGTCAATTTAACTATTTTTCTATTTACAACACAATTAGTACAGTCTAACAACAACAACATACTTTATTGACTTTCCCCAAGGGGGCTTTTCAAAGACAATGTTATAAAAATAATCCTATTACAATTAAAAAATCCTATTTACAATTAAAGATGTTTTAAAATCTGAATGTTCTAAAAGAAAAATAAAAGCATACAAATATATAAAATTACAACTCTTTGAGTAATTTGGTCCTTAAACGTTTTTTAAAAACCTTAACGGAGTTGCACAGTTTAAAGGAATTATCCAAAGAGTTCCATAAGTTTACGGTTCTATAGAAAAATGTTCTCTGACCGCTAGCTGTTCTAAAGAATGGAATTTGCAAAAGCTGCGAATTTCTGGTGCTACGTCGACTAACCTCGGCTCGCTTTATGAATTTTGATGAGAGGTAATCTGGAGCCTGACCAGTCATGCATCTGAAGGCCATAGTAGCGTTCCGGTAGTAAAGCTGGCTTTGAACTGAAAGCCAATTTAGTTCCTTGCGAATTGGTGTAACGTGGTCAAATTTACGCGCACCGCTAACAATGCGGCATGCGAAGTTCTGCACCGCCTGTAACTTGTCAACATTACATTTTGAGGTATTTGACCAAACATTGGAACAATAAAATAACCTGCTGAAAACTAAGGAATTAATAATCATCAAAAGTGTACGTTTGTCGAAAACATGCTTGACACGGTTTATTTGGCCGAGGCGGGACATGCACGAGGAAGCGGTCTTAATTATGTGTTCATCGTAAGTTAAATTAGAATCCAAAATCACACCAAGGTCTTTGGCGGTGTCTGCGGGGACGATGTCCTCACCCATAATGGAAAGGGAGCGAAATTGCAATTTTGCACGCATCTGCCTGCTGCCAAATATCATCAGCTTGGTTTTGCCAGGGTTAAGTAACAATTGGTTGTTGGAACACCATTCTCCTATTTTAAACAAGTCGTCTTCCAAATCAGCAATTGCATCCAGGTTGTCTTTAAGTTCGAAGGAAGTGATGAGTTTCGTATCATCTACATAACTCTGAGTGCTGCATTTCTGTGGGATCGATGGAAGATCGTTCGTATATATGCTAAATAGTAGTGGGCCTAAGATACTTCCTTGAGGGACGCCGTTGGTCACGGACAAAGGCTCAGATAGCGTTGAATGGATTCGTACTACTTGTGTCCTGTTGCTTAGGTAACTACGAAACCATTGGAGAGCGTCTCTGGAAATTCCGACATCTTGCAATTTTAAAATTAACGTGTCGTGATTGACGCTATCGAAAGCTTTGCTCATATCTAATAGAACAACAACAACTACAACAACAAGTCTGTAATTGTCTTCGTATCATCATCCTTCTTAACAAGTACCAAGATGACACAAGTTTTGTGTTCTTCATTATTGCTTGTATGATTTGTGTTTATGTTGATAGTAACGTAGTGGCAGTACATTACTTTGCACTGAATTCTCATGATAAGTTGACTGACGCAAGAGTAACTGCTCAGAGTTGCTTGGTAATATCTTCGCACCTAAGAGTGAAAAAAAAAATGAAAATAGTCTGGTTGGCCTTAGAATACGGAATCTTATTCAAGAACGATTGAATAAATATCTGTATAACTGACGTCACGCACTCACGAACACCTTTAAAAGAGCTGAAGTTTCGAGCTCGCCAGAGCGATTCAATCGCTCTGACGAAGGGCAACAACTCTAAATAAGATAAACATAAATTACCCTGTCATACCCTTCCACAGACGCAGCACCACGGTTTCTTTAGAGACTTACCCCCTTTATTACGACTAGAAACCGTTGGTTTTCCAACCGAACTTTTTTGAAAAGGTGGTTAACGTGGAGAAGCAGAAGCAGCTAATTGTCACAAAGCTTTTTCCCGACATGCGTAAGAAGCCGCTCCTGGTTTTCTTGTATGTGCTAAACAGAATGCGTGACACTTTATTTCAATCATCTGACTCTGATTAAGTAGAATCTAAAAATTGAAGCTGAAATTGTAATTGTAAAGTATCTTTTGAGTATTCAAAGGCTGTTTTTTGATGTATAGATGAAAACAGAGGTTAAGTACGATTCTCGGTTAGGTATTGTCAAATTGGATTTTCCGATGTTTCATTATGATCTAGACGACGGCTCAACTGGGAGATATCAGCGTGATGTTCAGGAGATGTTTGTTATCAGATGGCATTTTGAAGTAGTTCTCCCGAATTCTCTCTTTCGAATTCCTTTTTTCACCTTCTCTCAGTCAAAACATGTTTTCAACCTTTTTAACTCACACGTCAGTTTTAATAAAAAGGTTTTATTGGGTTGTTAGTCACATGTCCTCAAAGCTGCAATTATGCCTACTCTTGGGGTATTATATCAACAGAAAATAGTTCATGTAAATTTATTAAGTGCCATTATATCAAAGTCTGGAAACTTGCAATAGTAAATATTTTGGCACTTTATGTTTCACGTCAACTGAAGACAAACAAAGCTCAGTAAGGGTGGGAGTAAAATAAATTGTATTAGAACAGACAGTGGAGCCATCAACAGACTCATGGGGTACAATGACAAAAAACACATAACTTTTAATTCCGTCGAAATTAACAAAGATACATTTTCTTTTACCAAAAGAGGCTAATCAGTAAGCAATCAATTGTAATATAATCATTACTTGACATCAGTCATACAAATAAATGACCTGTTGCTAAATTATTGAGATTTATAGTCAAAAGGTAACAATTCAAAGTCAAACTGAGAAAAAATAATAGGTTCTGATATAGAATATTCCTGTCACATGAAAGCTACCTCTATAACTTTATAAATGGGTAATTTTCACGGTTTTCTTATTCACAGTGAAATGATGAAAATTCTAAAGAGGGATACCATATAATACCAAGATTACATATCCATCGTACATTCTACCAAAATTACTTCTACCAATTATTTAGTTGGTAAGCACTGCTATCACATAAGACACTCACACAATTTAAAATATCATGATGCAAATAAAGAACAAAAAATTTATAAGACACAGTTTGTCCCAAGCACCATTTCTAACGATTCCAACACAATATTCCTATAATGTTTTCGACTAAATAGGAAAAAAAATTACCGTGTCAATTGTTTGACTATTGATGAAGAACAAGGTTCCAAACCAGCTTTGCAAGATTTCCTGAGGCATTTGTCTTCTATTTCAGGAAAACGTTTGAACTAAAGGATTCCATCTCGACTTACTGGTTTTCCATGTTGTGATATAATCATTTGATGATATCAATCCCTACAAAAATGTGATATTTCGGTACTTTGTTTAAAATTTCCGTCAAAAGCTAACATAGAAGAAATATACTACTACTGGATAAGTTAATATATGAGTTATTCTCTCAATTATCATTTACACATTTCAGTGAAATGTTGAAGATTCTAAATAGCGCTACCATGTATTATCAAGTTTACAAATCTTTGTATATTTCACCAAAATTACCTCTACCAATTATTTGGTTGGTAACGGCACTGTTCTAAATTACAGCTGTTAACAGCTACTCAAAGAATTTTAATGCTCTTTTCTTGACGAGGCTGTACAAAAGTGGCATAACACTGCTCCATAACACGACTCTGTTTCGGAAAAGTTCTATTTTCTGGAAAGAACAATGGAATTTTTGGTCTAGCTCACGTTAAACTTTGTCACGTAGATTATTTGAAAACTGAATCTGAAGGATGGCAAAAGATTCTGCTTACCTAATCCAATTAAAAAACCGCGACTCACTTCTCTTACAGTCCCTCGAATACAGACTCCTGTGGCTTCATAAGTTTGCGGATTATGTGCATTGAAGAACTGAAACTCAGAGTCAAAGTGAGTCCAAGTGCTACAGTGCGAAGAGCAGTGAGTTTTAAGTTGTTCAGGGAGCCTTGAGAATTGAGGATGAAATAAAACACAGCTACTATGTCACTCTCAACATAAGCACAGATCATACACACACTGATGTAGAACACATACCTTGTGACAACTTTGTGCTTGTTGAGAATGATAATAAATAGAAAATTGCAAACTGTACACGTTACATTGTAAAGCATAAAATGTAAAAAATTCGGAAACATGTCCAAGAATGAACTTTGGCTAAGAGAACAGTATGGTACAACGAAGCACAAAACGAGCAAATACATGTTGGATGAAAACCAATCACTCCGAATCAACTTTGAAATGTTTGTTGAAACGGTCCAAGTGCTCACACAATCAAAACTACTATGAATGAAAAAACAGAAGATTTGAAAAAATGGCCACCACAAAGTGAGATTACATGATATTATTACATGAAAATCTGGCCTCATATCAGTGGTTTTATTAACATGTTTCAGAAGAACATCCCAGAAAGTTTTTTGCCGAAATCTTTCTTGTCCATCAAATCGGAAAAAAGACCATCCCCCACTTGATATACCTACAGGGAGCGCTGCTAGAGTGACAATCACATAACCAAGACCAACTACGAAGTAGCGAATACCTCTTTCCAATATCCTCACCACTCGCAGTGTAATACTACTACGGCGCAAGTTATCACTTGTTGTTAAATCAGAGTCAGAGTCTATTGTAACGATTAGAGTTTGTAACTCATTCTCATTTTCTTCACCAGTAATGCCTTGTTTGTCATGTCCCCGACCCTCCTCAACTCTTGCGACTAACCGCTCACTTTCCTCGTTGCCAGCTGCAGATTCTTCATCGACTTCTTGTGATATCGTCACACAACAGAGTTTCTTCTTTCGTCTGAGCCATTCGAGCGTAATGATTGGACCCAAAAGAAACCAGTAGTAAAGTCTCTCTAGGTATTTTTCCATCTGTCTGAGCTCATCGGACCCTTGTTTAGTTTCTATGATATTTACATATGTTTTGTCTGCATTTTTAAGGAAATCATAATCATGAACGGGGTTGTAAGAGTCTGAAGTGGTGTGATTGATACAAGAATGAACAAACACATTGGGAATCAATATCTCCTCTTGAGTATGAGGTTTTGTTACATTTCCATTTGGTCCACAATTTCCATGGCCAAAATATGTCACCACAGAGTATCCAGCGTTCTGTGCATTAAGTGCTAGATCTCCACACGAAAATGCTGTATCATCCTTAAGCGTGACGAGAGCGATTTTGTCGACATGTATTCTTGACTTGCTTACATCAACTAAAGGTTGACGTGCATTGGCTAGTCTGGAAACCACTGCTAAGCTACTCAAGCGAAGATCTTGGTCCGCATCAGTTTTCGATGCTTGCAGAAACGATTCCAGCGAAGGACGATAATCATCTCTATTTGCAAACCATGGCGTAGAGAGATAGCAAACCACTTCCGGGATGCTTGCGAACGACAAAGTCGTTGTGCTATAAGAGGAGTATGAATTGCACAAAAAGAGAGTGGGATATTGAAAATGGTACAAAATAAACGCGATGGTAAGGATCCGAGCAGGATGAAGAAAAAAGAACTGCCAATAGCCAAGCATTTTGCAGACATGCTGACCATCAACGCAAAAGCGATATTATTCAAAACCTGCCCTTGTAGAAGAATGCACAGCGGAGGTGTATCATTGTACCGCTGACCGAAAATAATAAGGCACAACAGACAAGTTCTTGAACATTTATCAACATCTCAAGTATAGTTTCTTCATTTAGTATCAAATGTGAACGGAGTCAGATCAAATTTTCAACACCTATTTTATCGAGTTTTCTTTGTCAAACAAGTCTTGTACTACTATGGCTATCTCTTCTATAGTAATCAGTGCTTTAAATGCTCTTTACAAAAACAATACTTCAACTGCTGTAATCTAAACTCAGAGTCAGAATGAGGCTTATAAAGTGCTGTCTGAAACAATGTAAAACACATACCCTGCGACAAAATTATGCTTGTTGAGGATAATAGTACCGAGGAAATGACGTGCACGAGATCATAAGTAAGATGATAAATTATCAACTATTAATTAGAGTCTATTCACCCTTTACACCCTAACATCAGTATCCATATCCTCCATACAAGGGAAAGGAACAACCAACTAGTGTATTTTCATTTTTAGTTTTAGGTAACAAGGTATTTTAAGGGTGAAACAAATTTTAATCAAAAGATGTTTTTAATTGTAATTTGTTAACTTTTTGTTGTGACAGGTTTTGTCTGCTGCCTGCATATCAATTCGTTTATTTCAGTTTACGTAATTGCTAATATTCATGTTTAATCCTTTGACACCTTAGAGTGACTAGCATCTAATTTCTTCTCACAGTATCAACTTCAACAAATAAAGATGATGAAAATAACAAAACTGATCACCAATTCAAGAAGCTTATGATTGCCACACAAATTCTCCTTGTCATTACCATAGGAAATATACAGAGAACAGTGTGAACAATATGAACACCAATGTACAGATGTAAAAGGTTTAAGGATGGCAGGTGCATCATTAGGAAACAGGAAAAAAACACTAGTGAAAAAGGAGTATTTTATACAAGTCTTTCTAACACATGAAAAACTTTTAACTCTTAGAAGTGATTAACATGTAACTTCTCCCCATAATATCAATACATTAAGTTGCTATCTTGATCTAACACCAAATTCTGGTAATCAGTTTACAAGGAAATGTGTAGCAGCTAGAGGGAGAATTAACAATCAGATCTTGGGAGTTAAAGGGTTAAGTTTACTCTTAGCTATGCAGAGCACCTTGCTTTAAAAGTAAAACCCAAATAAAAATACAGTGTAGTACTTTTTATAGTTTTAAGTCAATGTCAATAAGTTTCATGGATTGATATAGACAGTTTTAAGATTTACATACAAAGAAGGTAAGATATGAGGTTATATTATGTGAATACTTTGATTGCATTAACCCTTTCACTCCCAATATCAAAATATCACTTCCTCTTCACTGTTCAAGGTTAAATTGGAATATCGAGTCTTAATTATCTGAATGTGAAACTAGAAGTGTTTCTCTGTAACTAAGGGGTGTTAAAGTTATTGGACTAGAGTGTTTCCTTTTATTAAAGACCGATTTGTGAAAGGAAGACAATTTAGGTTATTGAAATGAGTTATTGTAGTACTATGTATTCTCATAACTTATGCAGAAACAGGGGAAAGAGAGGATTCTGATTGTTACCTATCAGTTGTATCATGGACGGTATATGAAGATCAGGAATGAATCTTTTGTAGGATACAAAATACAACAATTGGAATTGATTTCCTGTCTTTTTTTCAGAATTCAGCTCAATAGTTGAGAAAGGTTGAATGGATCTCAAAGGGTGCACCTGGTTTGTCTGTGTCAGATGCATAACATTGTAACCTTAGTCTTAGACCTTAAATGATGCCAATAAAGAAACAACTGACAACACATGAGACTCCCACAAGTAAGATTCCCATGACCAGGATTTTTCTCTTACTCTGCAGTTACCATTTAATAAGGGAACAGTCACAGTGCTGTAATAGAGTGCTTGTTATCCCAGCTGACATTCCCAGGTTTATGGGAATATGGTAGTAAGTGTACACCTTTAGGGATCAGGAACTCCCACTCTCCCCCCCACCCCTCTATCGCCTGGGGGAGGAGAGGAGTATTATGGGGGGGGATCACAATGTTTGCAATGGGAACGGAAAGGGGATCAGTAGTCGCAAACACAGTATTAAGGGGACTAAAGGAAATAAACTGCCATTTAATAGCAAGTGAGGAATATCACAAAGCCTTATGGGGGGATCTGGTAAATTTAACCCCCTTCCCATCCAGCGGTAATAATCACCAGTCCCTTACCATAATGTTTTGATGTTGTGCTGATATTCATGGCTCTTCCCTTGTAGAAGTTCAGTACATTTAAAGTAAGCTGGATTTCTTTAAACTGAAATAAACTAACCGTCTTGTCTTCTTGTTTCTGGCAATTAATATATAATATATATTATAAAGATTAAAAATTGTCATTGATAATTCCATCACTGTATCTAAGATAGATTTTGAACAGGTGTTTTAAGAAGCTTTTTGCACATTTTTCATCAATCAACAACTTGGACTGTCTTTTTTTTAACATAGCTTCAGGACAAGTTATCTTGTTCCTTAATGCTATTTTGACCCCTCTATCAGATGTCATGTCTGGGAACTTCTTTCTTGTGTAACCTACAAAGAAATAAGAATAGGGAAGGCTTAGAGAAGCTAATGATATCAAGAACATAGCCAAATATGATCCCTGTGACTAATTTCTTTGGGCAACCACTTTTACAGATTACTTAAACTTTTATTATTAACTTCATGTAAGTCACCACTTTTTGTATGTTGTTGATCCCACATGCCACTTTCAAGTTTTGTTTATTTAAAGCAAACAGTTAAGTGGTAAGTACTTTCAGAATCAGACAGCAAGCAAAGAAATTTTTGAGATGGGAATAGTGATCAGAATTAAGGTAACTGCTTTTAGTATACCTGAACCACTAATGATAATGATAATTTAAGATAAATGCTACAAAAGAGAAAAGTTTGTAACAAGCACTACTGGAATAAAGTAAACTTATTGTGGTTGCCATTACCATTGCCCATTACAACTCCAGCCCGGATTAATTGTGACTTACTGAAATGGGTGACACCGCTGGATTTTTTACATCAAAGGCTCGGTTTATTCCTTTGGGCATTGCTTTCGGTGGCTGCCGAAAACGTGTCGAATGATTTCGGTTTTATTCGTTTCGAAAAAGGTGAGATATTTTGGAAGAAGACCAAAGGAACTGCGGAAGGTACTTCAAAAGACTTGGACAATAGTGTAATTAAGCTACCTTGCGCGAACAGACTTGTGATCTTGAATCCTTTTGTTTACATTGTCTTGAGATGAATGAACTCGAGATCGATAAACTACAATCATTTGAATGGATTTATTTTCTATTCAAGGTGTATTTTTAGCCTTAATATGTTTTTAGGATTAAAGAGCGTCGCAAAAGATTTAAAAATGGATCTTGGACGAGTTGTTGTAATCACTGCGAAGAGCAAAAGCGAAAATAGTTTATCATTTCGAGCGCCGATCGTTTTGTTTTGATCCGAATGAGTGCACTTGAATTAAACTACTTCTTTATTATGTAAATATTGCGTGTCATAAATAGTGCTCGTGTTCGCGCGCTGGCGGTTCTTTCTTTCACAACTTTCGTCTTGTTCGAATGAACTTGTTGTGATCTGACCGTGCATGCAATGTTTACTTCTACTTGAAAAGACATGTAAGCTGATAAGTGCTTGGGTTTGATCCGAGGTTGATGTCTTTGACATGTTGCCCAACACACCGTGAGTAACGCCTTAAACAAGTCAAGATACTTTTTTTCGTCCTACAACAAGTTATATATCGTAAATATCATTCTTCTTGATGCCTTTTCCGGTATTACCGATCGCGATGCCTTTCCCGATACCGCCGTTGGTTGATATAGCAGTAAAAATATTGTTCCAGTCAAAGCGTTTGGAAAATTGCTTTTTTAGTGCTTTGAGTGTTTCGGTTTTAAAGGATCTGTGTAGAGATTTCAAGATTGCAGGCTTGCAGGCCAGATTGTCTGTAATTAAGTTTTAAAGGTATACTTAAAGCATAATTTATTTTCTATGGCAACCTTTTTGCAAATTCCAAGGTTTAGAAAAGTATACTTGAAGTATACTTTTCCAATTCAAGTACAAATAAAGTACATCTACCACAATTTGCTTAATATACTTCATTTATACTTTTTGTGTTGAAGTTTAAACTAAGTATACTTCAAATGTTTTTCATTTCTAGAAAGTGCAGAAAAAGAATACTTGGAATATACTTTAAGTATACTGAAATTGTACAGGGGTTGTTCTCTTCGCAGGATCAACAGCATCATCCACGGAGTTTTTTGCTGGCGCCATCGAGTACATTTCCTCGGAAAGTTGGTCAATCTGTCTTTTGTCTGTTCATGTAAGCAAATTGTAAGCATACGAACAGTTTTTCCGTATTAATAACGTTTACTTAGCTAGTTTCGATTTGCATCAGGAAAAGAGGATCGAACTGAGAACGTCAGCATTTAAAATATGCATCGGAAAAGCGAAATGAGCCGCAGACAGACTGTAATGAGGCGGACGCTGACTTAATCAAATCAAACTTGAACAACGCCGCAAGTATTTGGTTTCCTTATGTAAAGTCGGTTCGCCTGAGAGGCTACCTAGAGGGGCCATGCAAACTTTTCAAAGCTGATCCAAATTAAAAACCCTTTACATCTTTAAATTGGTATTTATATTCTTCACACTGTTCTCTGTATATTTCCTATGGTAATGACATGGAGAATTTGTGTGGCAATCAAAAGCTTCTTGAATTGGTGATCATTTCCTTTACTTTCATCATCTTTATTTGTTGAAGTTGATCCTGTAAGGAGAAATTAGATGCTAGTCATTCTTAGAAGTCAAAAGATTAAACATGAGTATTAGCAATTACATAAACTGCAGTCAATAGAATGAACGAATTATTGTGCAGACAACAGACAAAACCTGTCACAATAAAAGTCAAAACATCTTTTGATTAAAAATTTTTTCACCCTTAAAATGCTTTTTTACTTAAAACTACCAATTGAAATACAGCAATTGGTTGTTTCCTTCCCTTGTACTATTTCCCCTTCCTGAATTTGATACTTGAAGTTTTGAATGAATCTCACAGTTCAGACAACATCACCAAACTCTAAGCAGTAAAAAATAAGGCAAGGAAATCAAGACTAAACACATTAAAAAGGAATTGTTTCGATGAAAACCGTGTCTCTCAGGTTGTTAACTCTCCAAACCTCGAGAGCAACCATCTTTGATTCCTCCTTACAGAGATACTGCTGAGTCATTTAAAAATGGTCCGTAGTGGCAGTATATTACTTTGCACTGAATTCTCAAGGTAATTTGACGGATGTGAGAGCCGCTGCTTAGAATTATTTGGCTTTGTGTGTAAGAGTAAAATCAAATCAAAATAGTCGGGCTGTCCTAAAAATACGGAATCTTATTCAAGAACGATCGAATAAAGATCTATATAACTGACGTCACGCAGTCACCAACACTTAATGTTGTGTGTCTGTGGTTCATTTCGCTTTTCCGATGCATATTTTAAATGCTGCCATCTTCTGATCCATTGCAATTTATTCACTGCAATCGTATTCATTAGATTAAATTAAAACACCTCAAGAATGTGTAATTATCTTTGTGTGTAAGAGTAAAATAAACTCTGCCCTCAGAGTATGGAAAGATTCAAATAATTGACGTCACGCAGTCACGAACACTTAATGTTGTCTATCTGCGGTTCATATCGCTTTTTCGATGCATATTTTAAGTACTGTCGTCTTCCGGTCCATCTGCTTTTCCCGATGCAATTCAAAAATAGCTCACATTACAGGTACAGAAGTACTTTACGTAAGCTTACAATTTGCGAGTTAAAAAGAGCACAATTGTTTTAAAACTCGACAGATCGACCAACATCCCAAAGAAATGCAGCTTATGCAGGCGTTAGCTTAAAAGATTGCCTTGGACGACGCTCAGTGTTGATCCTGCGAAGACATCAAGAGCCATGAATATCAGCACAACATCAAATTCTCCTTCGGTCGATGTAAGGTTTTATCTGTTCACCCAGCTCGCCACAGGGATCTCCCTGGTGATTCTGTCGCCGATAACAGTCATTAGTAACCTCCTGTTATTACTGACTATTTACAAAGATCCTCTCAAATGTTTCCGTACACCTGCTTCGTATCTCATCATCGCTTTAGGCTGTGTTGATTTCACAACCGGTCTTGTTATCGAGCCTCTCTTCGTTGCTTACCGCCTGACAAGTTATTTGAAATGGTCACTGTATCCAGGCCGATCATACGAAAGCCTGCTAAGAATTGGAAGTTCTATTTCCACCGTAGGCCTCAACTTGTCATTCTTGCTCGTTCTCGCTCTCATTTGGTCACAGTTCCTTGCCATAACTCACCCACAACGTTACCGCTCGGCCATTACAACGCGCAGGATCCTTGTATTTGTTGGTGTCTCGACGCTGTACTTCACAGCTTTCACTCTTCTGCAATTCATCGGGGTCTCCCGAAGAAGCCTCCTTCAGATAAATCTCCATTTCCATGCCACAGTCATAACAATCCTGCTTTTTGTTGGTTCTGCTATACTTCTGAGGTCACTTCACCGATTTGCCAAAGAATCTCGCCAAAATGAAGACGATGAAGACGATGAAGACGATGAAGGCTTGAGACAACTTACGGTGGCAACTTTGCTTCTATCAGCAATACTAATAGCTTGCACTCTTGCTCATATCATCACACTTAATATCTGGTTTTACACAGAACTGAAGACACCACAAGACACGCTTCATCTCTCCGCTGCCATTACAATTGCAGACGAAATGTTATTTATTAAGGTAGCTTCTGACGCATTCGTTTACGCTTGGAGACTGCCATACTACAGGAAGTCTCTGAAACTAGTGTTGACTCGTGCTAGGCAGCAAACTGGAAATGAAGCCACTGAAATGGTAACCATGGCTTGATCATTACTTATTTTAGCCATAATTATATTACCAGACACTTATCATGACTTGCACTAAATCAGAGAACTAAGAATCATTGCAGACTGATATAAATTAAAGCTAGCCTGTACCAGCAATAAACTAGCAATCCGCTCTTGTGCTCTAGTTAATGTGTCAGTTCTACTAAAACCCCAACTGTAGAAACAATTACAGAAACCAGAGCAAGTAAATATGGTTCATGTCGATATTCTACCTCTGAGAAAGATGAGGATTGGAAACTGTTTTATCGAGTTTACTTCACACTTCACTGGTCAGAAGATGATAACTTGACTGGCTTGATGCTGAATGCAAACGAAAGACGTTACGAAACCATAATAAGTGCGAAACTGATATTCTAGGTGATCATAACAGAAATCTCAGTAAATCAGTGTAAACGTTTATCCCGTGTTTTGATTACTGATTGAACTGTTTACAAGTATTTATAGGAATTGAAATTTTGAGTCTTTTCTTTAAGGATCGACAGCAAGGGAACCTCAGTATTTCCGAATGTGGCCGATACTTATCAACCGCTTTAGTGATTTGAGTAGGTCAAAAAATTTAAGTCAACAGATTTGAAATGATCAAGTTGAGAAAAAAGATGCAATTAATGTTTAACCCAATGCTTAATTTGTAACCCACCATTTATTCGCCGTCTGTATTTGGACACAAGTGTTGGGTGATAACTCGGGAAATAATCGCTTGGCAAGGGCGAATAACATATTATAATTCTGTGACACAGATGTCATTGAGCAACAAAAAATTCCGGAACTGCCAAGATTTCTCTTAATACAAGGGGACACGCACAGAATGTCGTAGATAAATTTCTTTAACGTTGCGTCTCTTCTTGATAATGCCAGTGTCTCGTAAACCCAATTATGAATACAGAAAGTTTAAACATGTGTAATTATTATTATTATTTAACGTTTTTATGATCTAATTGTACTACTAAACTATGTTAACAAGCTCTTTGCGTATTTCAGTGCAATAATGAAAGTATAATCAGCATAAAAATCGCAAACAAAAAATTGATTGAGCATTTAATTTTGTAGAAGACGAAAATCCCACAGTCAATTTAGTCTTTGACCTTACTGTGATGACGACACAGTTTTTAAAAGTTTGCATAGTTATGTGCAATAACCAAATAGTTCTATGTCTAATACTATGTTAATAAGTTCTTTGTATATTTCGATCGTGCAACAGTATAATGCACCTATGGGAAAAGTATGGTCAACATTAAAATCGCAGGTAAAAAAAATTAAAACTAATCAAGATGTGATCTAAGAACACGAGAAACTCTTATTTAAGAACAAGCACTTGTCGTTTAAGAAGAACATTAATCTACTTCTGTAATTTCTCACGACCCTAAAACATTAAAACTACATAGATTTCTAAGTTGGTAACACCCATGAGTTAGAATGTTTGATTTTTGTCGAAGATGAAGGTCCTACCGTCAATATCGACTTTTACTCGAACTAATAACTTTTCTACCCTAGCTTTTTCATTTGTTTTTCCTGTTCTGATCATTTCATATCAAGATCCAATCTACAATCGGCAGCAAAGAAACAATGAGATGATTTTACACTTTCTCAAAACAAAATTCTGTAAGAAGAAGGCTGCATTACCCGATGGCAGGCCTTTCCAAACATTTCATTTTCTGAAAAAAATTAGACCCAAACTTTTGACTAGCTTACTACCAAATCTCGAAATTGTTGCACCTTTTTGTAGCGTACGTTTAATTTTAAAACCAGATCTTAAAGGAAGATGGTAAACGTGACAATTCATTTCTCTGCCAGTCCCTCAAACACAGACTCCTGTGGCTTCATAATTTTGCGGATTATGTGCATTGAAGAACTGAAACTCAGGGTCAGTGTGAGGCCAAGTGCTGCAGTGCGAAGAGCAGTGAGTTTTAAGTTGTTCAGGGAGCCTTGAGAATTGAGAATGAAATAAAACACAGCTACTATGTCACTCTCAACATAAGCACAGATCATACACACACTGATGTAGAACACATACCTTGTGACAACTTTGTGTTTGTTGAGGATAATTATAAAAAGAAAATTGCAAACTGTGCACAGTATATTGTAAACCGTAAAATAGAAAAACTGCTGAGAAAGAGGTTGGTCGCTGAGGGAACAGTATGGCACGATGGCGCATAAAGCGAGCAAATACATGTTGGACGAAAACCAGTCACTTCGAATCAACTTTGAAACGTTTGTCAAAACGGTCCAAGTACTCGCACAATCAAACATACTGTACATGAAAAAACAAAAGATTTGAAAACATGGCCACCATGCCGTGAGAGCACATGACAGCCAAACTACCTGAAAATCTAGCGACATATTAGTGGTTTTACGAAAATATTTTATAAGACCTTCCCAGAAATTCGTTGGTCGATACATTCCTCGCTCATCAAATCGAAAAAACGACCATCCCCCACTTGATATACCTACAGGGAGCGCTGCTAGAGTGACAATCACATAACCAAGACAAACCACGAAGTAGCGAATACCTGTTCCAAATATCCTCTCCACTCGCTTTGTAATACTATTATTGCGCAAGTTATCTCTTTCTGTTAAATCAGTTCCAGTGTCTACTGTAACGATTAGAGGTTGTGACTCATTCTCATTTTCTCCACCAGTAATGTCTTGTATGACTCCAGCATTGTCTTGTTGACTCTCCTCAACTCTTGTGACTAACCTCGTACTTTCCTCGTTGCCAGCTGCAGATTCCTCATCGACTTGTCGTGATGTCGTCACACAACAGAGTTTCTTCTTTCGTCTGAGCCATACGAGCGTAATAATTGGACCCAAAAGAAACCAGTAGTAAAGTTTGTCTAAGTATTTTGCCATCTGTTTGAGCTCATCAGGCCATTGTTTAGTTTTTATGATATTTACAAATGTTTTTTGTGCATTTTTAAGGAAATCATAATCATAAACCGGAGGGTTGTAAGAGTCTGAAGTGCTGGAATTGGCACAATCAGCAAACACAATAGGAATCAATATTTCCTCTAGCGTGTGAGGTTTTGTTACATTTCCATCTGGTCCACAATATCCGTCGCCAAAATATGTCACCACAGAGTATCCGGCGTTCTGTGCATTAAGTGCTAGATCTCCACACGAAAACGCTGTATCGTCCTTAAGCGTGACGAGAGCGATTTTGTCGACATGTATTCTTGACTTGCTTACATCAACTAAAGGTTGACTTGCATTGGCCAGTCTGGAAAGTACTGCTAAGCCACTCAAGCGAAGATCTTGGTCTTTGTTAGTTGTTGATGCTTGTAGAAACGATTCCAGCGAAACATACTCATCTTCATTGGCTGAATAGAGATTGCAAACCACTTCCGAGACTGTTGGGAACGACATAGTTATACCGCTTTGTGGGGAATATGGACGGCATATTTTAGTATTTTGAATATACGTGAAGAGTGCAAGAGTCAGGAGGCAGAAGCAGAGAGAACCTACAATGACCAAGCACTTTCCTGACATGTTGACTTCGAACACAAAATTGATAGTACCAATGGCGGATCCAGACCTTGAGCTAAGGGGGAGGGGGGGGGGGGGGGGGGCAGTTTTTTGTCCCTTGCCCTACCAATTATTTTTTTACCCAAAATAAGGAGGGGTGGCCCTCTCCTAGATCCGCCACTGAGTGCTTAAATCTAATCTTGAAGAGTGATGGCCAACAAACGATCATTATTCTTCCGCTGACTGAAAACAATATGGCGCAACGGACGATTGCAACTTATCGAAGATTTATCAACAAGAATGGAGTTGATCTCCTAAGTATAGTGATTCTATCAAGTATCAAATGTGAGCAGAGTCAGACAAATTTTTCCACGTCAAACAAGTCTTGTGTTTTTGGGGATGATCAGTGCTTCGAATAATCTTCTCAACAACATACTGACCGCTGACCGCTGTAATTTAACGTACTTGCATCACTTCTCCGAAAGTTCCTCAAACCACAGGCAGCCCAAGCTACAGCTGAGAGATGATCATCTTGCGAAATAAGAGTCATGGCCAAATCTGTAAGAGTTTGTATGGAAATATTTACGACCGCTCTTACGAACAAAAAGTACAGTCAAATTTCCAATAAAAATACCTCTCCTTACTTCCACAGTGCATCGCTTGCTATCTGACCGCTTACTATGTTGAAAAGAACCCATTTTAGCGAGTTACCCATTTCTAGTAAGCGGCAGATAACAGGCGCATTGGGGAAGAAAGGTGAGGTATTTTAAGTGAGATTTGACTATGTTTTTTTCATTCCTAGAAGCGGTCGTAAATATTCCCATACAAACTCTTATGATTTTGCCACGACTCTTATTTCGCAAGATGATCACCTCACAGCTGGAGCTTGGGTCACCTGTGCTCAAACAAAGATTCCCGATTCCAGTTGCCTTACAAGTTTAGGGATAAAGTGCAGTTACTACTTAAGACTCAGAGTCAGAGTGAGGCTAAGTGCTTCCTTGCGGAGTGCAGCAAGTTCACGTTGTCGAGGGAGCTGTTAAGTGAAATAAAATGCTGAAACTGTGTCCCTCATAACATAACATAACTTCAAGCATGAAATTCATAGTGGGAACCCAGTAAAGAGAAAGGCAACAACCATTACCTTTTTTTTTGCCAGTTTCAGGTAACAAGGCGTTTTAGGGTTGAAACAAATTTGAATCAAAATATTTTTTTAAACTTTTATTGTGACAGGTTTTGTATGTTGTCAATTCGTTCATTGTATTGACTGCAGTTTATGTAAATGCCAATACTCATGTTTAATCCTTTGACACCTAAGAGCAACTAGCATCTAATTTCTCCTTACAGTATCAACCTCAACAAATAAAGATGATGAAAATAAAGAAAATGATCTCCAATTCAAGAAGCTTTTGATTGCCACACAAATTCTCCTTGTCATTACCATAGGAAATACAAAGAAAACAGTGTGAAGAATATAAATACCAATGTAAGAATGTGAAGGGTTTAAGGATGGAAAGTGTTTCATTAAGAAACAGGAAAACAATACATGTGAAATTAGGAGTATTTGACACTAGCATTTCTAACACATGAAAAACTTTGAAAATCAATCATTTCAACTTTTCCCTATTTATTCCCTAATATTATTTGTATTTAATTAAATCCTTGGGAGGGATATCATGTATCCTTTTTAACATACTTACAAATTAAATTCCCTCATACTGAGACATTTTTACATAAAGTTTACTCTTAGCTATGCAGAGCACCTTAGGTTAATAGTGAAACCCAAATGTAAATACAGTGTAGCACTTTTTACAGTTTTGAGTCAATGTAAATAAGTTTCATCGATAATAGCCAGTTTTGAGATTTGCATACCAAGGAAGAAATGGTGAAGTTGTTATGTGAACAAATTCGATTGCATCAACCCTTTCACTCCCAAGATCAAAATATCACTTTCTCTGCACTGTTCTCCATACATTGCCAATAATTTTGGCTTTGAGAATTTGGTGCTAAATCAAACACTATCCTAACGTTTAAATATGTATCAAAATTATAAGGATAAATTTCTTTTTGATCACTCATGGGAGTGAAAGGGTAACTAGTGACTGGTTCCTGTTTTTCATTTTATTATTTGAAAAGGGAATTTTACTACAAGTAGCCCAAGCTGGCAAAATGAGCCTCAGTAAATGCACAGTACAAATATGTAAATGTTACCCAATGGCTGAAATATAGGGTTGTTCCTTTGCATCATGAGAGTATCTTAGGCTAATGTAGGGGTGTTTAGCTCCATTTTAGTTTGCTTTGCCTGTTAAATAATTCTTAGGTTCAGTTTTTTTAAGGCCACAAAGGCAACTGTTTATTCCCATAAAAATTCTCATAAAAATTCTCATATTTCAGCCATTGCACAATGTCAACATATTTGTATACTCAGGGAGGCTCATTTTGGGAGCTTGGGCTACCTGTTGTCATACTTCTCCTAACAGAGTGTCTTCTCATTTTTCAAATGCAAACGTAACTCTTCACTCTCTTTGTAAGTTGACCACAAAACTGTGGCCAGACCACTGATTATCAACCCACCACCAGCACATTCCAGAAGCTGTAGCGATTGTCCTAAACATATCATGGACAAAAGTGCACAAAATAAAGATTGAAGAGGCCAGGAGCAGGTAACAAGAGTGGATGGTGCCTGCATGTTACACCAAGAAAGAAGCAGATAACACATTGTTGAGGAGACCACAATTGCATACAGTAAGCAATAGAATGTTTCCTTTGTAAAACTTGTGAACTTTTCTGGTTGATTTGAATAAGTTAATGAAGCAAATGCCAGAAAAATTGTAGCAAAAAAGTAACTCCAAGCTGTAACAGCCAAGGGTTGTTTCTTCCAAGTTGAGTGGGATTGATTAAAAATATATTTCTTCTGAATAATGTAGTACACGGCTGTGCTGGAGGTTTTCACAAAGAGACAAATGCAACCCAGAAACTGAGTCCCAACAGATGAATCTTGTAAGAGCCAGGACTTTTCACTGGAAGTATCATGTAGTTTTCCTAACGTCATTGTCATAGCACCACAAACTGCTAATAAAATTCCAAAAACTTTAGCGCATCCATGACTTGTTGTTAGCTTCGGAGGTGGTTCCACACCAGTCATCATTGCGAGGAAAGCACTCCACACAGGCACTGCAGGCTGGAACATAGCAGCCATGTTAGCTGATGTTAAATAAACACCAAGGAGGAAAAGAAGCTGAGGAATAAATGGTCCTGTGAGGCCAAGAACCATCAGCAAAGGTATGCTTCTACAAAAAAGAATGAAAATTGGAACAGTTATTTAATAATTATTTTTGAGACAGCTGGAACAGCTTTTACCCTTTAAACTCAACATTATCATGTTTATTCTCAATACTGTTCTCTATACATTTCTAAAGTTGCTGGCAAGGAGAATTTGTTTCACCATCAAAAGCCTCTTTAGTTGGTGATCATTTCCTTTATTCCTGTGACCTTAAAATTTGATTCAAGGCTGATATTGTCAGAAGGAATTAAATGCTAGTCACTCTTTGGAGCCAAAGGATTAACTCCCTGGAGTGACCACAACAAATTTTCACCTTACAATTTACAAGTAATGAGAATAAACAAAAGTATAAGTTAGGGAATTTTTAGTTGATCCTATAGTACATTCTCCAAACTAATACCACAACAATTGTATTGCAGACAGTAAGGAGAATTGATGATGAGATCTTAGGAGTTCATGGTTAAGAGGACTATTCTGCTTGTTTTTCTAGAAATACCACAAAAAATAAAGGCCCACTGTAATTTGTGAAATGAAACAAATGAAAATCTGTAATTTGCAAAATGGAAATATTCTAATGATTTGCTGAATAGAAATTGAAAATTACAGATTTATCTGTAATTTGCAAAATGGAAATATTCAAATGATTTGCAAAACAGAAATCTGTAATTTGTGAAAAAAGAAAATTATTCTGAGACTGAAGAAAATAAAAGAGCTTAGGTCAGTTACATTTTTCTAGTAAACATGATATTTCATCTAGAAACATGCTGCGACACTTTCCATGTCCATGTCTGGTCAGGTAAGTGTTATGTCATGCCTTTGAATTATTGATCGACAACATACATTGATTACACCTTATGTGTGTAGTCTTTACCTTGTGGACAGTACTGCTACAGTGTCAACTCACATTTCAAATTGCTTTTGCGTACTATAGCCTAAACGACACTTTGAGTTATTCACAAATGTTGAAGAAATTTTGTAAAGTTCACCATACAGATTTGTAAATCATAAGCATATTTCCTTTTTGCAAATTACAGATTTCTAGAAATATGTAATTAGCGAAATGGAAATATGGTAATGATTTGCAAAAATATTTATTTACTTATTGAAATACATGGCATATACAATACAAAATGGCTAAACTAAAATAATTATTAATGATAGGTAGTACAGCCAATGGATAATCCGTAAAGAAGTTATAGACCCCATACAAAGATGGATCACCATAATAAAAAAACATATATGTCTAAAAACTACATAAAACTATGAATAATTAGAAGAATAGATGAAATAATCCTCAAAAACTCTGAGTCAGAATTTAAATCGAATGTAGATCTATGAATCAGATGTAAAAATATCTATAGATTATCCAATACAAGAGATTACCACAAAGTGATATTTGAGGTATCTCTGTCTGGCACAAACATGTGTAACATCCAGAAAACAGGACATACAGAAATCATTAGATCAAAGTATTCATAATTTTAACAGGAATTCTTAGCTTTAGTCTTATATATTTAACTCAGCAGCATCGCGAATTTCTCTAGGCTACAGATTCCTACTATCACATATTCTATGATTTTATTTTTTAAGACATTTGTTCTAGCATACTTCTTTTTTAAAGTTAACTTATCCTTAGGTCTTAATGAAAATCGGTCAACTTCTGAATAAAAACAGCGTATTTACAGATTTTCGTTTCGTTTCGCAAATTACAGTGAGCCACAAAAGTTAGTTCTTCGACTTAGCACTTTTAATTTCGTTGATTTTAAGCTTGATGCTTAGCTAAATTTTCATCATTATCTTACAGTTATTAAAAATAATTTCGAGATTATTTTTAAAATAATGTTTCAGTTGGGCTTCGTCTCATGTTTTAGGGACATAATTTAGAATACGACTCACTTCCACTGCTTGGTTGGCTATGAAAAAGTAATTTTTCTAACCTGAGAGAAGGAAAACTCAATTTTCCTTCGACGAGAAAAGCAGCACACATCATGACTGGAAAAGCTCCGGCATCACGAAACAGGCAGAACACTAAAGGATCTGCTTTAGTTTCCTTGGCAAACTTTGTCACGATAATGCCATACGCCCCAAATCCAAGCTGTGCGGTGATTAAGGCACAATAAACCTTCATCGACATCTTAAATTCTCCTTTGCTGTTTAATTTAACCAGGGAAAGGAATGGTTTATTGTCACTTCGTCTCTTCGTTGGTGACCGGCGGCCATCTTGAATTAGTTTCACGCTTCATGTGGAACATGAAATCAAATCGCTGTTTTGGGCTCTTCTATACGGACGGGGGTAGGATGAGTAGAATCATGTAGCCCCTCTTCCCTGGGTGTTCTTCTGCTATGCTTCTGCGTGCGTGACAATCTTACTGTAAATATGTGTGTGACCCGGCAACCTGATACTGGTAACAACATGGCTGTGGGGCAAACTTTAGTTAAGGCATCAAAATTGTACTTTTTCTCTCTGTTTCTCTACAATACGGCTGTTTTCGCGTTGAAATCAGGTTCCATTGGAAATTGCCCAATTTCAAGCACGAATTTCAGCGCAGCATTCCTCCACAACCCTCCATACGTGAAAGCCAATAGCACAAAATGGCATGGCCTGATTTATGATTTTGTGCAAGCGGGATTAATTCGCTGTTTTCGCCGCTACTCCTGCAATATGACGAAGATGCACTGGAAGGAGGTTTTCTCCGAGGAAAAATTGAGTTCCCTCACTCTAGAAGAAAAAACTGACATCGCAATTCCGATAACACCTTCGTTATTTTCGTCTTTGACTGAAGAATTGTCGACATCACGAAACTGGCGCGTCACGCTTTTTACTATCGTAGAATCGCCTGGTCTTGCGTTAGTCATTGATTACGATGCCTGTAAGACGAAGATTGAGAAGATTATTACGTACACAATTCTGTCTGCTTGGCCCGTCTGCGCTGTGATTTTACTCTTGGCTGGTATTTCAGGGATCTCCATATGGGCATTGGTAAGGAACTGGTTATTATTTATCTCCCGTGGGGGAGAGGGGAAGGAAGGTGGAGTATTTTTGAAGGGGCAACAGAGGGGGAATCAGTTGTCGCCTACCAAGTATAAATGGCGGACTATGGAAAATTTACTGTCAATTACCTGGCAATTAATGGAGTCATAAGAATGTTGCACAGTCTTAGGGGGATCAGGTCTAATTCGATCTTGACACAACCTAAACCCTTTAAAACCCTTCCCCCCCCGACAAATAATGACTGGTGCCTAACTCTATACTGCTGGCAAACGTGCAAACGTCCTCTTGCTTCGTTAAGAGCCATTTGAAACAGCTGTATGTAATTCTAGCAGAAAACATACAAGCTTTTAAAAAAAAAAAAAAGCGATGGGATCGTTTTCTATGTATGAAGTTGTGATATTCCCTCAAATACTAAAAGGACGTTTTATCTGCAGGAAACAAGCACTAACCATCATCACTTCCCGTCTTCCTTTGGGCGTGGATCAACAGAAGGATTCTGGTGGGCTTTTGTTACCATGACAACTGTTGGGTAAGACTGATTTATCATACAAGGCTACTTCAGGAGCCCATTGGTAATGGGCTCCTGGCTACGTTCAAATTTCCTTCAGGAAAGGACGTACATTAGCTATATCTCTTTTCTTAAATATTATCCTGTTATCTTGTAAGCTCCTCCTTCAAAGTATATTAAAGGTTTTATTCCTACCACTGTAAGTCGAACTCTCTTAGGCTTCTCCTTTTAATCCTGGACTTATTTATTATTATTTCTCTCGCTCCGGCTTACGGACTCAAACGGTTTTATGTCCGAGAATAGTGCGAAAAAAGCTTGAACTTGGATGATCGTTAGATGTTCAACATGCTTCACTACAATTCGACACCACCGGGGACAATGAATGTGTACCCTGAAATGTTTTCCTTAAATCTTTAAAGTGGTTTATGGTCATCTTGTACACCTTCCTTATCCTGTCACACCCACGTTCCCTTTCACTTTATTAGTGCTCCTCGTTAGCAGTCTGTCTACCACAGAAAAAAATGGCTTGCAGGTTTCCCCTAAATTAGCGAAACTTTTCATCAACCAAATAACAAAATGCCAAAACTATCATAACATAGTTATCGTTTCTCTAGTGCAATTTTGACCGTATTGTTTCAGGTACGGTGACAAAGTTCCACGGACCATGTACGGTCGACTTTTCTCCGTTGTTTGGATTTTAACCGGCGTCTGTCTTATTTCCATTTTCACTGCTGCTATCACCAGCGCCATCACTGTTTCGTCTGTTGACCCAGGCTGTAAAAGTACTCAAGGAAAACGCGTGAGTAATGTTTTTCTGCCTTTGCTCCAGCTTAACATCATTTGGTTGATAGTTTTCAGCTGCGGTTTTCTTAACCACGCACGCTTAGTGATTGGCGGGAGAAGAACAGCTTAAGGTACCCTTGTGATCAGTCAGTTACTTTCCGCGCCACTGTCCAAACCATCAGCATGTAATAACAACATCAGTCGCAATTTTTGGGGTCGCCGGTTTGAGTCAGCGGAAATCATGTCGCTTCTTTAATAGTGGCTTTGTTCTTCTAGAGTGGTGAGGGGCACCGAGAGAACTGCGGGGGAGGGTAACCAAATTGCAAAAGTCCTTAGGCTGTCAGTTTTTTCTCTCTATTCCATTTTACAACATAGAGTCGAGCATATCATGTTTGAACATAGGACAGTATCCATCTTAGCTGTCAAATTACTTCCGTATAGTTTTCCCGACGATATATTTTTCTCTTCCTTCGAAGCTCGCAGCAATAAACGGATCAGATGCTGAAAAGGAGGCGAGGCATCGTGGGGCTTATGTTACAAGTAAGAATAACATTTTGCTAATTCCATCGGAAAAGTACGTTACCATTTTTCCATCGGATCTATTTTTTTTGTATCGAACATGCATGAAAAAACGATAAATTATGCGAAATTCTACTCCTACTGTTAGGCCAAAAGGACAAATTGTAATTCCAAGAAAGCGTGTTCTAGCGCTCACTCAGAATCTTGCGATGGCCCATATTTAGAATGTTACTCAGAAGGAGTAGCGTTGTGGAGGGGCAAATTCCCAATCACTTCTGGGTATGAAAGTGCAGTGAATATCCGCTTAGGCGTGTCAGTTCTACCGGCCCTTCCCTCAGGACTCCAGACTGAATAAATACCTAACATTGTTTCTGAAATAAATCGAGAATTGAAATGATTTTTTAAAAACTCGTTCCCCGCGATGAAAACCTTAGGGGAGGGAGGTCACGATGAGATATGCTTGATTTCCGGTAAGGCTTCGTAATATTCGTATATGATCCTTCCCCCCCCTCAAAAGACACTCAACTCTTCATAGTCACCCTTTCATACTCTGTCGGCGACGACTTATCCACCCTCCCCTCCCCCCAGGAAATAAATGATTGTCCCTTACTCATTTCGTATATTGCCTTCCCCAGCCTTTGAAACAGAAATGAAGATGTTCGATGTGTTAACAGCAGGTGATGTTGATGGTGTCATGTTGGACAGATTCAAAGCTTACTACTACCTCGATCAACTGAAAAACGACAATCTTAGAGTTGCCTTGCGTATCGACACTTCACTACAATATGGCGTCTCGCTCATAGATAGAGGCTTTCCTGAGCTCACGGGAAAGAATGGGTGCCTTGCAGAATACTTCGTCAATTCCCGCCATCGTCTGGATAGAACAATGAAACACTACATAATGCCGGTGAAGGTTAGTCCTAGTGATATATCACCATTACTTGCTATCCTCCTTTCCCTAACACGTTGAGAATATTGTCCGTACTAAATTCACCTCACAGTTTAAATTAAAGGAACCGGTCATTATCGCTTGGAGGTGGGGAAGGGAGGGGGTGGGGGTGGGGGGGGGGGGGTGGGGGGGTGGAGAGGGTTTGGAATGTTTTGGTCTCGCCACGATACGATTTACCTCATCTCTCACCTCCCAAAAGGCTCTGTACTAAATTCTTATGATTCACCCTCATTGGCGGTAATTTTTTTTTTCATTACAATTCCTCCCTTTTTACTCTGTCAGTGGCGACTGATCCTCCTTCCATTACCACGTCCTTAAAACCTTGTGTTCCCCCCCCCTGCGATTTATGTCGACTGGTCCCTTAGTAAAAAAAATCAATACAATATCAAGTTTCTAATTCAATCTGTCGCTGGACTAAAAGACGTTCTGAATCCTTTCAGCCCTTAGGTTCCCCTACAGAAACAGTTGGAGTCCTCTCGATCCATTCAAGGGCCAATCAGCACCTGTTGATCACTTCTGTGTGTATTTTTGTTTCATTCCTGATCTCTGGTCTTTTGTGGGAATTTCTATACCGAAGAAACCACTTCAGTTTTTTCAAGTCTTCTCCAAGTGAGTATCACTGGTCAGTTCGCGCAAGTTCATGGACATAGAACACACTCTTCTTTTAGATCATCTCTCTAAGCCTGCTACACATTAAGTGTTAATTAATGAATGGCTCACGCTTTCATCATTTTTAATACAGTATCATTATTATTATTATCATCGCTATTATAACCTTTATTATTACTGTTATCAAAATAACTCCCTCTAACTTTTCGCAGGCACGTATTGTTTCAATTATTTCAAACTTATTTTTCTGACACGACTTAAATTGAAATTTAAGATCAATTAAAGTCCAATCTTTGTTTTGATTTATCAGGGGGTAACAAAACCAATGGTTCACCGCTCATCAATAAGGAACTTGCAGAGATTCAGAACGCTCTCGAAAAGCTTACTGCGCAAGTGCACACGGTTCAAGAGAATTTGTAGCGTCTGCAAGAAATGAGCAGTGAAATACAGAAGACTGAAGACATTCTGATGGATTCAACTGCCTCTAAAATGTCCATCCTTAAAAACTGACCATTAAAATTAATTGTACAATGACACCTTAGACAATGCAAAGCAAATCGAAATTTTGAAATTGTTACAATGTGAGTCTCGTAGCCCATTTTTCAACTCTTATCAAAATGTAATGCTCATTTTCAATCAAAACAAATAAAGAAGGCTCGGGTGCAGGATTTCCCCTTCAACCATTTCTATCCACAAAGACGACTGTCCTTCTTTAAGTTTCTTTGAATGGACATTAAGTAGAGTGTTCTTCATTCATCATCACGTGTCAGCCACGTGTACTGCACGGGTTTATCAGCGCAGCAGCTATCCACCCACAGATAAGACAGAGTTGGCGAACTGCAACCGGCCCTCGCGGTAATTTCGATACAAAAACGCACCAAAAAGAAAAACTGCGACCGAAATTGGCGCCAAAATTCCCAGCGCAGACTCCGTGTTCACGCAAATGCACACGCTGAAAACCACCAGAGCCAGCATAAGAAGAAATATAAAACCCCGTTGATAGAGCGGAATATCGTGCAACCTTGCACGAAATTCGAAATTCGGTACAACAAATGTGCAAATGGAGGCCATTTCTTCTGCAGATCCTCTATCGACATCTTCCACTGAGCTTTCCTCGTCAGCCATCAGAGGAACTTGTTCGCAGTCATTCGCTTCCAGGGCATCCTCGTCCGGACTTCTGAAGCTGCCGTATGTTGTGTTCATGACAGCATTCTTTTTCGGTTGCAGCTTGGGGTACCAGATAACCTATTTTTCCGAAAAAAAAAGAAAGAAGATTGACGTTACATAGACTGCGGTTGTTTTCTTTTAGCTCTACAGAATAATAATAATAATAATAAGTCTTTATTAAGCACTCTAAACAACAAACGTGTTTAGTTACAATGATATGAAATCAGCAAGTATAAAACTAATAAGCTAACTAAATTACTAACTGAATAACTAATAAGAGAACAAACATCTATTAATAAAGGTCCTTTTGAAACGTTCAGTTCTGACAAGCGGGAGAATATAATTATGGCGCCTCTTACGTAGCGTATCCATTGTTCGCTCTGGTGGCAAAAGGTCATCTAAAGCTGTTGGAAAATCGCTGTCGGTGATCTTGGCCCACAACTTCTTATCTTTTAGAATGATAATATTTTCAATCGAAAAAAAGCTCTTTACAGTAGCCAAGCTTAAAAAGCTCTCTTGAACAGCCTGTCTATGCGACTCAGATACTTATGATAATACGCGCAGCCCCATACTTCTACAGCATATGTAAATATAGGTAGAATAAGACTGATAAAGAGAAGATGAAGATGATCCAGCGGCAGTCCATAGAATTTACAAACACGTAAGATGTACAGACGACTACTGGCTTTCGATATAATATTATCAAAATGTAAGTCCCAGTTACACGGATCAGATTGAAAAGTTACACCCAACAACTTCAGACATGGTTTACGCTCTATAGAAACCAGAGGAGCAGGTAAGGCCTTAGTGGATTTGGATTTGCCTCTAAGAAGCATCTCCCACGTTTTCTTGAAGTTTAGTTGCATACGATTAGCAGATGTCCATGCGACGATCGATCGGACCTCCTCAGCTGCTAAATTGCCGTTATTAGCCAGCGATTTTACTGGAATACTTAATGTTAAATCATCAGCATATTTCACAAGTAAATTCTGATTTGGTAGAATGGCCTTAATATCATTGACCATAATAGAAAATAGTATAGGGCCTAAAACTGTCCCCTGAGGGACACCTCTATTGATATTTACATAGTCCGTGACAATGGCATCAACAACAACTCTTTGTTTCCTGTTCTGTAAAAAACTAATAATCCAATTGGTCACGTATGGATTTATATCAAGTGTTTTCAACTTAGAGCAGAGGATATCATGAGGGACCGAATCAAAAGCTTTGCTGAAATCAAAAGAGAAGATTCTAAGATTCTAACACAATCAAAACCCGACTCAAGCCATTTCAGCCAAGCATATTGACACTTAATTAAGGCCATTGTCGTATTGTGGCCTTTGCGGTATGCAAACTGGTCGAAGCTAATGAAGTTCTTCATATATTGAGATAATTCTTGTCTGTATACAAGACGTTCAAAACCCTCATTATTACATTAGTCAGCGAAATAGGCCGCAACTGTGTGCAATTTTTAAAGTTGGGCTCTTTAGGCAAGGGAGTTATGTCGGCCAATTTCCAAAGATCAGGCACAATGTGATTTTCCAAAGAACAGTTGAAAATATGGGTAACAACAGGAGCGAGGTCGTACGCAAACTCTTTCCAAAACCAGTACGGGATTCCATCTGGACCAGAGGCAGTTCTTTTTAATTTCAGTAGACTCCTGGTAACACTGGAGACCGTTAAAACAGGCATCTCGCTTGATTCCGGGATAGTGACAGTGTCAATGGGTTTATAAAGGGGATCAGTGTTAATGGAACAGAAAAAATTATTGATCTCGCTCGGGGAGATAATTGAGCTTACTTGCGAGTTGGTAGACTTCCTTCCTGTCAGGGAATTGACTGTTGACCACCAAGATTTGGATCCTGCACTATGTTTCTCAAAATTCCCTTTAACTGCTCGAACTTGATTATCTCTGATCAACTTGTTGATTTTCTCTTGAAGAGTTTGGATCTCAATCGAAACAGAATTTCCTGACATGTTACTTCGCCGAATCAATTTTCGCCGTTGGTCCAGTAGATGTTTGATTAGAGGAGAAAAGAACGGAGGGTCCCTATTAGACACACGTACTGATATACCCGGAAAACACTCATCAAATATGGTCTTAATCTTGGTACAAAAAAGATTAAGTTTTCCATTCACATCTCCGCATTGATAAACATTGTCCCAGTTATGAAACTTCAACAGTTTATCCATATCCAGTTTATGATGATCACGAACATCTCTGAACATCACAGTTTTCCTTTCAGCCTTAAGTGGGATTCTGGGATATACCAGGACCACAGAGTGGTCAGATCGAACTAGTCCTTGAGTGACCGATACTTTCCTCCAAAAATGCGGGACGTTAGTAATCAAAACATCCAAGATTTTGTTCTTTCTTGTCGGTGTATTTACCATCTGGAATAAATTTAGTTGTGTAAGAAAATCATTGTAATCTAGCTGATTGAGGTCACCACAAATTATAAGGTTGCTGTTAGGATTACCAGTCAATAAATGATCACAACTATTTGTTAGATGTTCCAATAAATCATCAGGACAATATGGCGGATCTGGAGGATGATAAACAGCAGCCACATAAAAGCTTGAGTTGGGAGTTGTAATTTTAGCCCACAAACATTCAAAGGCATTATAAAAAACGCTGTCTAATCGTTCCAACAACCAATCGCTCCTACAGACAATAGCAACACCACCGCCTGACCGGTCAGTTCTATCCTTTCGCAAAATTGAGTAATCCTTCGGACAAACGAGATGAGATGGAAAATTTGGTTTAAGCCATGTCTCGGAGATGATGCAAATATCGCAGTTGTTTGAGTGCAATTCCATATGCAAAGCAGAAGCAGCATCAACTTTCACAAGTGATCTTGCATTAATGACCATACATTTGGGGATTATTCGGGGTAAAGAAGAAGAGTGAGTAGAAATGAAATGCAAATTTGTATCCTTGGGTCGAAGTCGTGCGCGTTTGGTCGTTGATAAAAAAAACAGTGGTCAGTGACACGAACTGGAATCTTGTGATGTTGTTGACGAGATCCAAATCTAGAATTAACACCAGCTCTACGACCTCTAGCTCTATAAATTCCCAATGACTTTAAGCGATGAATAAGATAATAATCCAGTTTAACCTTAGGACAACAGGAGCGAAGTTGAAATAAATTACGTCGACTGAAAGAAAATCTAGGTCTTGAAGTTTGAAGTGAAGCAGTCGGCATGTAGTTAAAATTTTCCGGACCCGGGTTAATTTCAACATCCACTGCAATAGATAGGTCCTTGATGAAACCTCTTTCAGACAGAGCAGCAACCGTCGAACCATGCTTTGACCATTTGGTGATCGGTAACTTAGTTGAGCGTCTTGCAACAGCAAGGTCTTGACCGCAGCGAGAAGCAGAAAATAGCTTTCGACTGACGCTAAAAGGGCCTTTAAAGGTAGATGGAGGCGAACAGATTGAATTGTGCTTGTCAAGATACTGAACGAACAAGGTAACAAAGCACAAAAGCTTAAAAAAACAACAACGACGACAGTAAGCGGCAGCCATCTTGGCGCACATACATTAAAACATTAGAAGAGTGTCTCGTGAGGAGCACAGCGGTCAAACATCTTCCAGAATCAAGTTGTCTCATACGAATTAAAAACAACCACTCAAGTCAGTATGTCACAGTGTTTTAAAAGCGTAGAAACTTTATGGTAAAGCTCAAAACAGAATGGCAAATCAGCAAGATAACCCTACTTAAATAAGCTTTGTATTCGCAAAGTTTCAAGTTTTTGTTTTCCCAACCCTACTTTTTTTTTAGTTTATTAGATTTTTTTCTTAAGTGATTCACTTATCTTACGTTTTTCTGTAAAACATGCCTTTTCATTTCTAGAAAATTACCTGTATTCCATTGATAAAAGCCATGGTACATGAAAAATAGGTCATGACAATGTATTGTGCTGGCAAAAGCAGAAGGTAATTTGGCAAGAAATCCAATGTTTTACCAACAAGTGTAATTACAACAGAGAGTGTGGACTGACCATCTGTTGAGCGAAGACGCATATTCAAATAAATCTGGAATTAAAAAATAAATATCATTTAAGAAATTGTGAAATTGTAAAGTATGTATTTACCCCTTCCTTCTGCAGACCCCACCCTACCCCCTTCCTCCTTCAGACCTTCAGACCCCACCCTCCCCCCTTCCTCCTTCAGACCCCCCCCCCCACCCCCGGCACCCGTTACCACTCCATGCATAAAGGTACTAACCCTTTCCAGCCCAAGAGTGCCATATGGCATAGGATGCCATTACATGCTCAATATCTATTCATTTTTTTCTAAAATTTCCACATTAAACTAAAAGGTCATGGAAAGATCTGCACATTGAAGGCATAAAATCATAGCCCCATCCAATACAAGACTTCGTTCACCACTTCTGCAACTTTTGGAACTTTTTGTCTTTGTACTGTTCTGGTTCAGGTGATATCTCACCACAATCAATGCTCTGAGAGCTGCAATTTAGGCTATAGTTTAGTGGTATATGTATGAGTCAAACAAAAAATTTCAACGATTTTCAATTTTTCACTTTGGAAACTTCTCAGTTATTTCAATTACCACCTCCACACCTGTTGGTGTCCATCAGCATACCCCAAAAAATACCTATAAAGTGATATATTATACATGGTCTAGTAGTTCACCATTCTCATTTTAGAAAAATTTAGCATTTCCCTCATGCAGGAAAGGGCTTAAGAGTGGGAGTTGGTTTGAATCTGCAATGCTGTGGAGTGGGAGGTGTGTTGTAGAGACCAGAATAAAAACCAGATTATGTATTCACTGCTAATGATATTCAGGGTTGATTTCTGTCTTTATTTTGCATCTCCTCTCCAATCCTCCATTGCATTTCCTTAACAGCTGCTGGTAATTAGCTGGGACTGTAATATTAAGAGCTATAAAAATTGTGCTTTGATTTCTGCAACAGATCGAACATTATTCACTGCACACTGGATATTCTCTTAGATTCACTTCCCACTTCTAACTAACATGGGACATTTATGGAGAGAAACACAATGTTGCATGCCATATGTCACAGTGCCTGAGTTCATCAGAAATGGATGGCAAGATGTGGTTTGTCAAGAGAACCTAGCAAAAATGAAACTATGATGTGAATAGACTTAATTAGTTGCCCTCATTTGGGATAGAACAGAATTACATGGAGTGCAAGAGACAGTAAAGTGAAGCGAACTGCTTGTGTTCAGATGCACCTGCAGCAGGGCTATGCAACAGCTGAGCATGGGTGCCACAGGTAACCAACTATTGTTTTTGGACAGACAACTAGCATTGTTACCACAGTTTTGTTGTTTTTTTTTTTTACAGTTATCTGCTGGATAGCAATTTATCCCTTGGATAGTGTCATTTGCCCTATGAAAAACTGAACCCTGATTATTAATTCCTCCCTCTAGCTGGCACACTTTTTCTTGTCACTAAGTTATGAGAATTTGGTGTAAGTTCAAGATAACAAATTCTACATGCTTGATAATTTTGAGTATCTCATACCCTGTTTGCTGGATAATGTGTGGATATTATAGGGAGAGGTTACAAATTAATCACTTCTGGGAGTTCAGGGATACAGTACTCACAAGGTAACCACAACCTGACAAACACTTGATGCTAATTTCTTTTCCTGATATCACTTGTACACATTTGTAATCCATTAGATTCATCAGTTTTTTAGTGGAAATTATCGCTACCATCTTTTATTTCAACTGCAGTGGAAGGCTGGGTAGAGAAAGAAACTTGTACCAAGGGGGTGAGTGACGGTCAAAATGAAGGAGAGGGTAGGGATGGGGTAATAAATATTATTGCCTCTCCCATGCCCCTCCCCCTGCTATCCACTCTAACTCCAAATCAAACTTGGTGGGTCGGATAAATGATTGTGAGCTGGTAACTTTAACTTTCCCTGATAAGATACCTGCATTGCAGGCTATCTGTGCAACCACATTCTAATAAGGGAAGTCAGTTACATATACAAATACAGGTTAGTTGGTTAGTTACACAGAATCAAATAAAAAAAGTTTGCTCCACTTCATCAGAGCAAATGGCAAACAGCTAACACTTGTAACATTAGCTTTTCAACTCTTTATGGAGGCCAATTTACATTATCAACTCATTTGATAATACTAAATTACCCTGTTATACTCTCCCACCAATGCAGCGCCACAGTTTCTTAAGAAACCTACATCCCCCCCCTTACTCCACAATAGGTTTTTAAATGCCCCACAGGTCAATACCATGCCATTCAGTTATAAATCCTCCAATGAGAGGCTGAATGTTGCTATGATTTAGGCAACATACCCTATCACTGATTAGGAAAGATACTTGTAGTGAATCAACACTTAGCTCATCTCTCCTTGGAAATGAGTGAAGGACCCATAAAGGAGTTATATCGCACAGATTGGTCCTGCATATTATCTAAGATTCAGAGTGTGTAGCAAAGAAAGAGTGAGGGGTAGTCTGGTATTGAAAAAATATGACGAGATTAGGAAACTAGGCCTAAATTTTTCATAATGGACGAAGAGTAACATATCACGAATTAGTTCGCGTGTGGGTTATTTTAAATCAGTACTGTCTCAGATCAAATTAATTAGTTATATTGAGCTGCTCACCTGCGGAAATGACTCAATAGACCAAAGAACAATTGCCAACCACTGGACATTTTTTTCGGCATCGGAAACGGAAAGTTCTAAACTGATCACTGCAATCCAGATCAGAAAACACCCAGCACCGTAGGATAATCTCATTCGCATAGTGTGCTTGGAGTAGAACCAAAACTGTAGTAGTATGGAAAACTCTAAAATGGGCATATATACCGCTGATATTCTGATATACACAGGCAGTACAGCAGAAAAAGCGAAGAAACAGTTTGCCAGCGAGGCTGTGAAGTTCGCAGTGGCCCAAAGAATGCTAAGTCCTTCCACAGATCGACGCTTCCGGTTCTTCCATATTTGTGGCACCAAAACAACAAACCAAATTGTGCAGCTTATGTAACCGCAAACATTTGCAAACGCGCACAAATCTTTGGGCCATGTTTTACGGCAATTATCGAATAGTAAGTTGATTCTCATATTGTTATCTTTCACTCATTTAGGAAAACCGGATACTTGATGTCATCCTACAAAATTAGCGACTAAATACAGGAATGGCTCCGACCTGTGATTGGATGATAAAAATAGTAAAAGTTAATAAGTTATGTCTTAACTCCTTGCTCGTGAGTATTGTTAACCGCGTGTCCCGCAGCGGAACAATGAAATACCAGAGTAAAAACACCGATGTGTCAAACAAGAAATGGCTACTTACATAACAAAGAGAAGACAGAGTCTATCTTGTTCAGCGAGGTCGTTCAGCGATACTCCGGCGATGAAAAAGTCATCCGCTGGCAAAACTCATTTAGTCAGTTTAGGAGGACGACTAGAGACTGGAGCCATTCGTGTATTTCACCGCAGACAGGAATGGCTCCAACTCATGCGTATATTAATCTTTTTTTCGTTCCGGCTAAATAATTTGTACACTGAGATAAAAACTGAAAGAGCGATTTATTAGGTTCTTCTTATGTTAAAGTCTACAGTGCTTGCAAATGAAGCCCTCTTTTATTACTACAGGGCCATGTAGTTTCTAAGTTTTAAAATAATGCAGAACCGCATGTCACGTTTGGAAAATCACGCAATGTTGCGTGACGCTGCGACCGATGTTTTTAATTTACAATATGCTCTGTTAGAGAAATATGACTTGGCCGCAATCGAGGGAGTTTTTTTCGTGGAAAACTGATTTTCTAGGTTATTATTCACATGAAAGACAAATCCATTCATCGGGCTCTTCGTCTTTTTTTGCACAACATCTAAAGGAAGAAAGTCGCGGATTAATTTTGCTCAGTAATTTCTAACAACTCCACTAGACCCAAAAAAGGAAAAAAACAAACCAAACCAAAAAATCGTCTTACCAGTCAAACCAGTTCCAGTAGCTCTCGCACTGAATTATTTCGAAGTACCTCGTTGGTCCAGCCAAGCCCTTATGGTCATTGGCCCCCGCAATGGCCGCAAACAATGGCTTAGAAATATAGGCGTTTAGTGTTGACTTGTAAAACTCCCTGAAGAAGTTTACGACAGTTAGACGAAACGCGTCAGAGAATAAAGAAGTTTTACAACTACTGTTCGCACAGCGCTGCTCACTGGTTTAGTTTAAATTTTTTCTAAATTTTTTTAAAAAATGTTTGAAAAATTATTTAAAAAATGATTGAAAAAAAAAATTAATAAACGTTTTAGTCGGAGCTATTCCTGTTAGCGGTGAAATGCTAGAATGGCTCCAGTCTCTGGTCGTCCGCCTGAACTGACTAAATGAGTTTAGTCAGCAGATGACTTTTTCATCGCCGGAATGTCGCTGAACGACCTCGCTGAACAAGAAAGGCTGCCTTCCCTTCGCTACGTAAGTGATCATTTCTTGTTTGACACATCGGTGTTTTTACTCGCATTGATATTTCATTGTTCTGCTTTGAGACACGCGGTTAACAATACTCACGAGCAAGGAGTTAAGATATAACTTTTCAACTTTTACTATTTTTATCATCCAATCACAGGTCGGAGCCATTCCTGTATTTAGTCGCTTGTTCCTACAAAGGGATTCGCCATCTTGAAAATGGAAAGCGGAAGTACAAAGCGCAGAGAGATCTGGGAGCTAGTGCCTGTTATGATTACATCACATCGCTTCTCCAAATCCACTAGAGTTAAAAGACTTTTAGAAGATGCCAATAAGACAAAGTCAGAAAAGTGAACAACACTGTACATGTGTTACAGACGTGAAAGATGTGAGTGAGAGTCTAAATGTTGACGCTAAAACATTTCTTGTCTTCGTTTTTTGACATAAATGCTTATTCTTTCTCTTATTCCTTCAAGGTATATTTCGCTTTTGAACTTCAATGTGTTCTTAATTCGTCCGTTCTGTTCTTTAGAAGAAGCTCTCTCGCCAGAGGAGAGTTTGAGTCGCGACTTTCTCTGAGGTCTCTACTTCTATGAATATTCACGAGTTTGTTTGGTTTTATTTTGTTTCCTTCTCCTTTTCTTTGTTGCCTCTGTCTTTCGTTTTCTCTTTCTTTATTTAAAGTTTAATTTTCCCATTTATTCTTCCAATCAGTCACTCAGTCATTCCTCCCATATCACCCTAACGTCAGGAGAACAAAGGAACTGATCACCAACTAAAGAAGCTCCTGATTGTCAGACAAATTCTCCTCATCAGCACCTTAGGAAATGTATAGAGAACAGTATGGAGAATATGCATACTGATGTAAGGGTGTAAAGGGTTAACTCATTCATTCAGTCTGTGAATCGCACAGTGAGTCCTTCAGTGAGTCCTTCAGTGAGTCAGCTTAGTTTTATGTCAGCGGTCTCCCAATTAAATAATTCATTTACTGACATGACCCGTTCATTTATTCGCTTTCACTAAAGAAATGAAAGAACTTGACGAGGTTATGGCTACACTTGATTACTATAACTTTATTTTATCCCTTTCACCTCAATACATCCATTCCTAGCCAATTAAGAATATTCACTGTCTTCTTTGTGAATCCGAAGAGTTCGTCCACTTGATTTGGATCATCGATATCGACTGTTTGCTTCGGAAGGATAGAATGTGTGAAGATCGACTGTGGGACAGATCTCGATCTTTTCCATATTTCAAACTTAATAAATTACTTAGTCTGAAATCCAGCAGATCGAAAGCTTGTTTTGGGTGCTCTGAATTTGGTTCGACGAATCATGTTTGACGCTTGATCCAACGGTCGACCTTTACCCTTTTTGGTCACCAAAATGATTTTTGTTTAATTCCAGATTATTTTGAATATGCGTCATCGCACAACAGATGGTCAGTCTATTGTAATTACACTTGTTGGTAAAACAACGGATTTCTTGGCAAATTATCTCCTGCTTTTTCTGATTCAAGTTGATCTCAAAGAGGGATTTTAACAGAGAAAAACTTCTTCAGTTTAAGGGCAGCATTGCCATATCACCCATTTCGTCTACTAGGTAAATGAATATTTCAAATGCATCGACTTTCACACAGCACTTGGATTCGCTACCATCTAATTAATTGAAACTTTTGTTTCTTTATTTATCTCGTTGCGGTGCTGTTGTCACAATGACATTGTTACTGTTGCTACTTTTAGTTTCTTAAGAGCAGGGAGAACTGATATCTCGTAGGATGGATTTTCGGAAACCTAGGTTAGGAGAATATACAACCGCTTCGAGCTTGTTTATGCCAGCATCCGCCAGAGGTTTCGCTCTGTTCACGAAACAGGAGATCGGACAGCTCAGGAAAGGGCTTGAACTTGATATAGTTCTGTTATTAAAATACGATGGAAACTACAACTGGTTCGATTTTCATACGATAAGAAAAGCGCAAATGTGGTCATGCGGAAAGACAAGGAATATAAGTACATCTCTAGCGCGTGGAATAAATAACAATAAGGAGATCACCATTCTTCGCTTGCGAAATGCCAGCCGAAAAGAACGTTGAACAATCATGCTTGTTAGAAGTAAATTCTCCAAAACTCGTTGTTGGTTTAGTCGATTCTTCTTTATTCTCTTTTCTTCTCAAGTTGTTACAACGGTGACTAACTCCAATATATCAGGGAAAACTAGAATCTCCGCTTATAAAGGTGACACTGCAGATGACATTTCTAAGCCGTCAATCTTCTTGTGTCGTCATCGTACCATCTCAACTAGCGAATCACGCTTGACTACGTATTATAGTTCCCACATACTGAGTATGCACCTTAGGGTTGTTTACGCAGTTACAAAATCAATTTCTACCTTAATTTTCATATCTTTACGGTTGAGATCGGCCAGAACAGAAACGAGATCGATAATATAAAAATTACAAATAACCTTGGTTCAGAGTATTATTTATACCTGAAAGTGCATCTTAAGAGAAAATCACCTTTAAAGATTGTTACATAACAACATCTTGGTCATAAGAGTTAAAGAAGAAAGGCGCTCACAAGCACCGCCCCCAAATTACTTTTGGTTGCGAAACATGAGGGGTATCACCTGTTTACCCTTAAATTACCTCTGGGAACACGAAGGTGTCGAACGCGACCTATTACCAGGGAGATTTACTCTTCCTGGACTAACAAATTAACTTATTTAAGAACATGGCTTATCACTAGTTCCATGTCAACCTCACGATCACAACGAAGAAAACGTGATTAAACTCCCTAGGAGAACGAGGCCAAACTCACAAGAAGAACTTGATCAAACTCAACCTTTAAGATAAGACCACCAAGAAGGAATACGAAGTAGTCAACCTGCCCTTTTTATAACTTACATTAAATGACTTAAAATAATATAATATTTCCATTCCTTTTCTTTCCGACACCAATACAGGAAACCCTTATGATATTGTAGATTAACTATAATTGTAATTTTATCATTTAACAAATGTTCAGTGTGGGAACAGGCCCCTTCACCGTTATTGTTTTAGCTGAATTCATTGGTTATCTTCCCTGATTTTACTAGTGGTATGTGTTCATAACAGCCATCTTCGAAGCCGGTACGGAGCATAAGGCATTGACAATGAAGAGTAAAATCTCCTCGATGACAACGATCGAAACGCATCCATTTTGGCCATACAGCTATATCCTTTGGAAAGTAGTGTACAGGAATACTCGGTATATGTGTATTCTTCGTGTAGCTAATATCATTTGGCGCTCCGGCCACGCAATACGTTCGTCTTTTCCTCTGGATTTCTCCTCTCTCCATTATAGTTGCCGACGTGTCTTCACAGTTTTCTACGTTACAGCTACGTAATATAATCGTTTTGGCCGCGCGCTTTTTGGGGACACTTTTTGGCCGCCAAATCGTACAATGTACAAAAAGTGGACAAGGAGAACTCGCCGGGCGCTAAGGTCGATTATTTCTAATTTTAAATACCGCTATCATCCAGAAAAAACAAAGAAAAACTTAAAGTGTTCTTCAATCATCATCACGTGTCAGCCACGTGTACTGCACGGGTTTATTAACGGAGCAGCGATCCAGCCACGCCAAAACAGAGTTGGCGAACTGCAACCGGCCCTCGCGGTAATTTCGATACAAAAACGCACCAAAAAGAACAGCTGCGACCGAAATTG